AATAATAATCAGAAAAGAAAAAGAAAAGAACGACAAGGAATAGTAACTTTGTCGTCTCCGCCACCTAAAAAGTCAAAGAAACCAGTGTCAGTATTAAATATCAAAATCAATCAATCAACTGATTAATTTACAATGGTGTTTTTCAAAAATTTTCATTCATAATTAACCAACAGGGAAAATTCTAAACTTAATAGCATCATTAAAAATGAGACTATAGTAAGAAAATATTATTTAATCAAGAGATTATATAAAAAATTTAACTACGCTTATACAAATTTTAATGGTGATAATAATAATAATAATTACTATTTAGGTTGCAGCCAAGCAGCCAGAGATCAAATCATTTGAACAAAACTGGATCTTGGCAACTATAGTCAGATACAAACTTGAGGTTAAACTGTAAGTATCTTCTTTATCTTTTTTTTATTTTTTTATTTATTTTTATTATTATCAACATCGCACCCATTAATTTCATCCATTGTCAAAGTTATGAGGCCGTGGATGCAGATCAATTTGAGGCATCCAATAGGTAATAAATTGTTTCCATTTTCATTTCATTTTTATTCTTATTATCGGACAAATTTATCTTTACTATATATATATTTTATATATTTTTTTTAGACATTTTAATGTACCAAATAAAAATGTTCTTCCAATTGCAAATAAAGGGGAAATTAAAACTAATGAATTTACAAAAGATCACCCTGTCCTTGCATTGTACCCAGAACAACACGCTTTCACAAGCAGTTGTTGTCCTTCTATCTAATGAGATTGCACCATCAAAAAAGGACTGTTATTACTTGAGTTTGAGGATGATGGAAGTGCTCAGAGATATGAAGAATCCCAATATATACTTGATATTCCAAAAGGTGACTATTTTGTTAATATTAACGCCATCGCCATTACTGCTACTTGTTAATTTTTTAAAAAAAAAACTAATACAAATTCAAAACCTCTAGGAGAAGTTAAGAACAAAAGATTTGTATCAAGAATTTGGCTAGTGTTAGTATGGACAAATTAACTATTTGTTTGCGAATAACAATAATACCAAAATACATATTTGGTAAACATGTTGAAACAAATATCTTATAAACTTCATTAGCCGAAATTATTTACGTAACTTCAGTTTTTAAACTTCTATTCCGTAATTCCCTAATCCGTAAATAATACGGAGCCGACCATACACAAGACAATACGTATACCATTAATTTCTCAAAAAGGTCTCGTAAAGATGATAAAACATTAAAAAGTTGGTTCCTAAAGACCATCATATAAGAATGAATATGAAGGCAAATATTATTTAACATCTTAATAAAAGTAAATCATCCAATAAATTTTTGCGCATCAAAAATAGTTTAAAAGCTTTATTTCCATCTATGCAAATACTGAAAGTGTTATTATTATTGATCTTTAACCGTCAACTAATCATTGTAGAAGTCCACGGCATCCATTCCATCTATCTATGACTTTATGATGAGGGTTTGGCTTATATAAATTAATAACATTCAAACTGTATATATCTTCGTTTTTACTTATTTTCATTGTTTTT